GACAGTACCCAGGCCCCAGAGTTCAAGCCCCACGACTGACAAAAAAAGAGAGAGAGACATTGCAACTGACATCAAAGAAATCCAAATGATTTTAAGAAATTACTATGACCAATCATATCCTAAAAAAGTCATAATCTGGAGAAAAATGGCACATACTCCTTACCAAGACTAAATCACATAGAATTAAACCTGAACAGAGCGACAATATGTAATATGAATAAGGAAGATCAAAAGGCCTCCTATTGCTGTGCATCAGTGGCTCACACATAGAATCCTATCACTTCAGGGTCTGAGGATCAAATTTATCTCAGACAGGAGAGTCTATGAGACTTTTATTTCCCATTAACCACCAAAAGTCTAGAAGTGGAGCTATGGCTTATGTGGTACAGTGCTAGCCTTGAGCACAAAAGCTCAGGGATAGCAGCCACACCCTGAGTTCAGGACCCAATACACACATACAAAAAGCTCTCTTATCAGAGACTAGACCCAGATTGCTTCACTATTGAATTTTTGCCAAACATCCAAGGAAGCATTTATATCAATACTTCTTAAGCTGTTCCAAAAATTGGAAAGGGCATTGTTCTAAATTTATTCAACAAGATCAACATTGCCTTGAAACCAAAATCATATAATGACACAAACACAATTTTTTTTTAAAAGACGAGATAATATCCTCGGACTGGGATGTAGCTCAGTTGCAAAGTGCTTGTCTAGCAAGTGCAGTGGGTTAGATCCACACTACCGGAAAGGAAAAGAAAAGAAAAGGAAAATCCTTGATGAGCATAGGTATAAAAATCTACAATCATGTTAAAATGTTATTTATCAAGGTAGGTTTAAAGACATGCAAAGATGTCTCAACATACACAAGTCAATAAAATACTTGCCATCAAAAGAACTAAGAACAAAAATCACATCAACAGGCAGATAGAGCAACAGATAAAATTCAGCATCCCTCAAGAAAAAAATTCTTTAAAAAAAACCTATAAATATAGAAGAAACATGCCTCAACATAGAAAAGGTCACTAAAGATAGACTCACATCATGCTGATTAGGTAAATTTGAAAGTTTCCTAAGATCTAAACCAATATGTATGGTGAAGCTTACTTTCACTACATTTAATTAAACCCAGTACTGCAAGTCCTAGACAAACCAATTAATCTAGAGAAATAAATAAAGGGCATCCATAGTGGAAAAGAATACAAATCTTTTATGTTTGTTACCAAGATTTCATAAAAACATTATAACTAATAAGTAAAATTAGCAATGTTGCAGGATACAAAACTAACATATAAAACAGTAGCATTGCTGTACAACAGTAAATCACCTGAAATAAATATTAAAAAATACCTTTAAAAATAGCTAGAAAACTATCTGGGTCCATTTTTAATAAGAGATGTGTGAAATGTTTAACAAGCAAAACACTAAAACGTTAGGAAAAAGAAATGAATATGTGCATCCCATGGTCATTGATTAAAACAACTTGTGCTATTGTAACTACCCATACTAGAAAGTGGAGCAGTGGCTTAAAGTGGTACAACACTACTCTTGAGAGAAAAAGCTCAGGGACAGGGCTCAAGCCCTTAGTTCAAGCTCTATGACTGACCCCACTCCTCAAAAAAAAAAGTTGCCCATCCTGCTGGGCACTGGTGGCTTACACCTTTAATCCTACTCAGGAGGGCAAGATCTGAGAATCAAATTTGGAAGCCAGCCTGATCAGGAAAGTCCATGAGACTCTTATCTCCAATTCACCACCATGAAAAGCCAGAAATGGAGCTGTGGTTTAGGTGGTAGAGTGCTAGCCTTGAGCAAAAGTGCTCAGGGACACTCCCAGGGTCTGAGTTCAAGCCCCAAGATGAGCACACACAAAAAAGGCCTATACCTTCCAAAGTGATTTGCAATTCAGTGCAATCCCAATCAAGATTCCAATGATTTTCTTCATATAATTTGAAAAACTGATCTTAAAATTCCTATGACCCTCCCTCCCCAAAACAAAGCCCCTGAATAGTCAAATCCATCTAGAGCAAAAAGAACGAAGCAGGAAAGTTTACACTACCTGATTTCAAAACATAAGTCAGGTACTGGTGACTTACCCCTGTAATCCTAGCTACTCAGGAGGCTTTTCAGAGAATAATGCTTAGAAAAGTGAATATCCACATGTAAAAAAAATGCTGAATCCATAACCTACATTGCATTAAAAAATAACCTCAAAATATATCATACAGGGGCTGGGAAGGTGGCTCAGTGGTAGAGCGCTTGCCTTGCATGCATGAGGCCCTGGGTTTGATTCCTCAGCACCACATAAGCAAAAAGAAAAAAGCCAGAAGTGGTGCTGTGGCTCAAAGTGGTAGAGCGCTAGCCTTAAGCTGAAGAGCTGAGGGACAGCGCCCAGGCCCAGAGTTCAGGCCCCACGACCGGACCCAAAACAACAACAACAACAAAATATATCATACACCTAAGCAAAAAACTATTGGTGGCTATTGTAGTCATCATAGTAGTAATATGAAAATAAAAAATGTAAACAACTCAAACATGAATCAAATAATCAAGAGAAAAAAGTGGAATTCCATTCATATAATGGAATATCATTTGGCAATGGAAAAGAGCAAATGCCACATTCAATAATCAATGAATGTTTTACTATAACATAAATGAAACTCAAAAGCATGGCAGCCAGCGGATACCAATCACCAAAGACCAGATGTTTTTATGGATAGGCAAATCCATGGTCATATGGCTGAGGGAGTAGAGGATGGGGAGTGAAAGAGTATTGAAAGCTTTTCTGCAATGAAATGTTCTAAATTATTTTGATGGTTGTGCAATTCTTTGAATATACTAGAATACACCAAATTGTATATTTTAAACAGGTAAAAATTGTGGTATTTAAATTATACCTCAATGAAGATATTTTAATAGATAGTCATAGTAAAATAATATTAAAAGAATGATACTCCTGCCATAGAAATTCCAAACTCTCTTTGCTGTATAAAGGAAAGGGATAAGTGATAATAGTAGATGGAGGAATCATGGGATTAGTGGCAGAAGAGTCAAGTTCATCAAATGGGAATATCTTTAATCAGTTTTATTTGAATATTTCAAAAGAACATTGTTTTACACGGAAAAGGAAGAGACCAGTGGTGTATTTTCAACACCTATGATTGGGAAAGGAAATCCATGGTACCCTCCTCTATGTCTTTTGCTGAATGAATGATCTATGTGCAATGACACCTGACTTTTTCTAAATTCCCTGTACTTCCAATTTCCCAAGCAAGTAATTAAAAATTTTTGTTTTAAAATTCTCTTCCCCCTACACACAGATTCCTAAAGATATGTTGACATTTAACAATACAATCAACAATCAGTGTGAATTGTTTGGTAAAAATGGAAATATCCTGAAGGTCAGAAATTCTAAAGGGCAAATCTGCTTTAAAATGCCAAATTAACAAATTAGCCTGTCATATTACAAGCACAAATATGTCAAACATACAAAAGTAGCAAGTATTAATTTCGCAGTCAAGTAAATCCAGAAGTTCTTTATAAAACTCTCCCTAATACTCATATTTTTCTTTGCTTTCCCTTTATTAGATGCAAATTTCTCAGCTGACAAAGCAAGAGATTTAAATTTAGAAAAACTCAATTCAAACTTTTACTTCAAATCTACAGATGTTAATTTCAAGGTATTGTCTTATAGATATAAAATTCCAAAAATAAATGTATTTTTTACAAAATATATCTGCCTGGCTTTGGACAGCATTAAATTGTTTGATACATAATGAAAGCAAAAATGTGTACATGACAATTGCAAGTATCATGTGCACTCTTTAATAAAGATTAGGAGAAAATATTGCCTAAATATTTTTTTAGCATTTTCCAGAACCTATTCTAAAACCATTTGCTTTTCTAAACAGTTCTCTAGTTCATATTTTATAAATAAAACAATAGAATCAGTTGTTTAACTCCAATGTGTATTCCAAAATTCTGAACACTGAAAAGAAAACTGAAAAATTAATTCAAACTGTTTTCTTTTGGCTATTTTCTCTTTTCACTCAACCCTCTTTTAAAAGATATTATTTATCTACCCTATTGTTGCATTAATTAGAAACTCCAGGAACACATAAATTATGTTTCTAAAAGTACTGTTTATTTTAAAGCATCATGTCAAGTTAGAATCCAGCAAAAAAAAGCCATTTTTTCACAGCAGAAAAGGTAAAGGGTATTTATTTTTTTATGGAATGGAACCAAAGTACAATGTATATCTTCTGTGCAAGTGGTTAGGACATGCTTCTTGTGTTTGGGGAAGTCTTGAAAATATGCCCTTTCACTTGATACTTGTGCTATTTGATGAAACAGGCATAGGAGAAATTTTCCATTTAGTTTTATGGACTCACACATAGATTCTTAACCTGAAATGAAAAGGCCAGATATCAAGGGGCAGTAGCATTTACATGAAAAGAAAACCATAGATTTCTTGTAGCAAAATCCCAAGAAACAAACCTTGGGTGATGGCATCATATGTTTTTTGTTTTTATTTTTATTTTTTGGTCGGTTGTGGGTCTTGAACTCTGAGCCTGGGCGCTGTCCCTGCACTCTTCATCTCAAGGCAAGCGTTCTACCGCTTTAGCCACAGTGCCACTTCTGGTTTTCTAGTGGTTTGTTGGAGATAAGACTCTCACTGACTTTCCTGCCTGGGCTGGCTTTGAACTGTGATCCTCAGATGTCAGCCTCCTGAGTAGCTAGGATTACAGGCATGAGCCACCTGCGCCCTGCTCATCGTATGTTTTTATAATGCACATTTCACTGAAGTAAGCAATTTAGAAGCATGATTCCATCATGGCTGTGGAGGAAAACAAGGAATTTCTAAACCTGATGAATGCATTGCCTTTTATGAGATGCCATCTACTCTTATCACTTAATGTGCAATGGAAGGGCACATTGAGAAACCCAGAAAACACATGGTTCAGTATAAAGAAGTTTCTTCTATAAAAGAATTGGGAATGTCATAATGACTGTAAGAAATCACAATGTTTAATCTACCATACATATTATTTGCAAGTACACTTTATTCACAGTAATATCAAATTTAAAACATACATGTTTTGTTCACTAAAGTTAACAGGATAATTTGGGAAGCAGAGCCTTTCTCCTTTAAATTCAGCAATGTCTAGCTGTAGAAGTATTTTAGCTGCAATAAGATACCAAAAAAGGTGTTTTCTTCGTAAATCACTGAAGTACATAAAATGCCTTGGCAGGTAATAATACCACTCCTATTCTATTTTATTCTATGATATCTATTTAAGATGTTATGTTCATCATCCAATCATCTCACCAGAGCATTCACATTTTAATTATGTATTCATTTTGATTGTTTGCATGCGAGAAACCAACTAACAACATTAAGCCTGTTTCTTCTGAAGCCAAGATACTTTTGCTATTTTATAAAAAGCAAAGGAGACTCATTTTTCAAGATGCTGACGGCAGAATGCTGAAGATTCATGCTTGCTGCTTCGCCTGGGCTTCTGCCTCCTGAAATGAAAGACAAACAAAACAGATAAGTATAAATATCACAAAAGTAATTACCCATGTTTATTTTGGTTGGAATACATTAGCTCAAACTACTAAGAATATTCAAAGGCAGAGTAATTTCCCCAGAAAAGAAGTCCTTAAAAACCCATAATAGAAAAATTCTGAAATAGAAAACACTGTCTAGAAATATGTAATAAAAGATGAGTTACCCATTGTTATTGATTTTGAAATGATTCCATAAAATGGCTTATGGTGCATTATTGACATTTTATTTCTAAACAGCTAGCTACTTCTTTTTTTGGTGGGGGGACTTTTTAAAAAAATGTGTGTTCAAAAGCACTGGTATCTGAAGTGTAGAGGTTTTTTTTTAGTTTAAATTACTATTCTTTCAAATATTGTGCCTTTTATAATTCCTGTCAGCTAACAAGAAACAAGATTAGGTTGCTTCTTCTTTTCTGGACAGCAAGTACCTCTAGCATAGAACTCTAAACTGTGTGTACATTTTGGCTACCAACATACTATTTGACATAACCTAAACTTCAGGGAAAATGTGTTGAACTACACATGGGTAAAAGAGTGACGTTGCCAAATGAAATGGCCTATCAAACTGAGTAAGTAATAGTATCAGGAGGACCCAAGGGTAGCTTAATATCTACAATACTAGATCCGAAAGAAGGAGAAAAAAGACCAAAGGCAAAAATAAAGACAAGAGGAAAAGACACAGTTGTTCATCTTTAATACATCCTTACCAACAAAGGTGAACTATACCACTTACCATATTCTAAAATATCTAGAAAGGAGAAAAGGAAGGAGTGGAGAGGGAAGGAAGGAAAGCGAGAAAGGGAAATAGGGAGGGAGAAAGAAGAGGAAGCAGGGAAGGAATTTATCTTGTACCAACATTGTACATCTTCTCTCATTTAATAACACATGCTTTTAAAAATTTCCTCTCGGAGCTGGGAAGGTGGCTCAGTGGTAGAGTGTTTGCCTTGCATGCATGAGGCCCTGGGTTCGATACCCCAGCACCACATAAGCAAAAAGAAAAAAGCCGGAAGTGGCGCTGTGGCTAGCCTTGAGCTGAAGAGCTGAGGGACAGGGCCCAGGCCCAGAGTTCAGGCCCCACAACCGGACCCTCCCCCCAAAAAAAACAAAAAAAATTTCCCTCTCACAAGAGATTTTATATACTCATTAAAAGCCTAATATAATCAGGCACTATGGCTCATATCTATAGTCTCAGCTACCTAGGAGGCTGAAATAGGTTTAAATTTCAAATTCAGCCTAGGCAAAAAAAAAAGTAAGACACTATCTCAAAGAACAAGTTTGGTGGTACATGCCTGTAATCCTAACTAAATGAGAGATGGAGGTGTTCCAAGCCTGACCTAGGGAACAAAGTGTGAATCTCTATGTGAAAAAACAGCTAAAGCAAAAAGGATTGGAGGTGTGTTTTAAGTAGAATGACTGCATAGCAAGCATAAGCTCCTGAGTTCAGATCCTAGTATTGGCCCTAAATAAGCAAACAAACAAATCTAACATATGTAGTTGGGAAAGCAGTTAATATGTTTAATTAAGTGTTTAATCTGAATTAGCACATAGCACCTATGAGTAAACGAGCAATCTGAAAGCAACCTAGTTCAATATAATCACATCTGACCAATTTTTGCTATAATGAATGATAAATTTCATAGCTCTCAATTATCTTCCTCAACACTGTTACTAACTTCCAAAACAAAAGTCAAGGCAAAATTCTTTTTAACTTATCTTTAGAATATATCACAAAGTAAATTTTTATCAAAAGCTTTATTATTACCTGAAAGTAAATAGTATTTATGGAATCATACATAATCCAATTAACCAGAGAACTGTACAAACAGGAATATGAGGTGCTTGTTCCTCAATTTAATGTAAACATCACTCCACATATATACTGGTTTTGAATCCAAATAATTCTGGGTTCAAATTCCAGTTGTATCCTTGGAAAAATTACTTCAATTGTCTACATAAGTACCAGGTTGTTTTCCTCTACAGAATAGCATTGAGGACATTTCACTCACAGAAATGATAAAAGTATAAAAAAAATGTATGTGAAATTTATAGCTTAGTGCAGGGCCTACAACAGGCATCACACAGCTTTTCTCTTTCCCCCTCTTGTCTTTTGTGACTAGTAATTGAAACCAAGCCCACAGCATACATTAACACTTGGAGATTTCTAAAAGAGTAAGCTACATTCTATAGAAGTAAAGCTACTCTAAATATCACCTCACAGGCAAATTCCACAGCCCTTCCCTTGCACATGATTACACAACCAAAGTAAATTACTTCCCGGTCAATAGCTCTATCATTTGAACTACATCTCAGCCCATTATACTAGGTTTAAAAAGTATAAACATTTTTTTGAGGTTTTTGATACACATTTGCCTTTCTGGTTTTTTGTTTTGTTTTATTTGTTGTGACTTGAACTTGGGGCCTGGGCGCTGTCCCTGAACTCTTTTGCTCAAAGCTAGCAATCTACCACTTTGAGCCACAGAGCCACTTCCGGTTTTCTGGTGGTTAATTGGAGCTAAGTCTTAGGGACTTTCCTGTCTGGGTTGGCTTTGAACCACAATTCTTAGATATCAGCCTTCTGAGTAGCTAGGATTACAGGTGTGAGCCACCAGTGCCTGGACCCTTCTGGTTTTTTAAAGGTAGTATCAACTTATGCTATCACTAATGCTATATTCAATTACCTGTTTCAGTGAACTCTTTATAGCACTGTTTTTATCTTGTTTCTTTCTTTTTTTTTTTTTGGTTAGTCATGGGGCCTGAACTCTGGGCCTGGGCACTCTCCCTCAGCCCTTCAGCTAAGGCTAGTTCTCTACCATTTGAGCCACAGCACCACTTTCAGCTTTTTCTGCTTATGTGATGCTGAGGAATCAAACCCAGGGCCTTATGCATGCAAGGCAAGCACTCTACCACTGAGCCACCTTCCCAGCCCACCTTGTTTCATTCTTATCCGATTTCATAGATTAAAAATTATCTCATTTTATACATTTATTTTACTATAAAGGAACCCTTTCCAATATAGGTTAATAAGCTGTATTTCTTATTTAGTATACTCTTTGTGTTCAAATAGTTCTTTCTTAAAAGTTCGTGTCCTGGTAAAGGGAGAAAGTTCTGAAAGTTGACCTGACAAATAGACAAAATAATAGGCAGATATCAAATTCATAATTTTTAATCTTAGATAAAACATATCAAATGCTAATATTCACAATCTCCTTAACAATTGCAGAGTGAGGAGCCTACTTGGAAGGTAGATCTGGGGATCATAGTTTGAGGCCAGCCCAGGCATTAAAAAAAAATGAAACAAATTGTTTAAATAGGGATACAGGTGGACCCCTTGCAACAACAATGAGATGTACAAGACATTATGTCGAAAAACGAACTTTACAAGTTTGGCTGGGGGGTGGGAGGGAATGGAAGGGGATGGATGGTAAGGGGAAACCAAGGACGAGGCAACCATGCTTGATAAGAAATGTACTCATTACCTTGCTCATGTAATTGTAACCCCTCTGTACGGTATTTTCACAATAAAAAAAACTTATTAAAAAACAAAATGATGAGATAGTATCCAGACAGTTGTGTGTGCCTACCATCCCAGAAAGCAACAAAGCACAAGTAGGAGTCCAGGCTTACCCAGGAATAAAACAAGACTAAATCTCATAGCAAGTAATCAATGCAAACAGGGTCTGGCACAGTCTTAAGAGGTAGTATGTCTGTTTAGCAAATACAGGAGCCCGAGTTCAAATTCAACTTGCTACCACTACCTTTTCCCTGAAAAAAAAATCTACCTTTCAAGTTTAATTTCAAATGTGCTTTCTTAACCTAATATACTGGCTTCTTTGTCCAATCTTTCATGCCATCTAATTTTTTAAACTTTATTCTTACTTCCATGCTTAAACAATGATAGAAAAACAAAGCAAAACAAAACAAAACACACTAGCCAAGCTGACTGGCTCCAGCACCAGCTCATAGATTCTAATTTCAGCTAGGTCCTTGCTCAGACATCCTTTCATTCATAATCATAGCTTTCTCCTTTGCCTATTTTCAGCAAGTGAATCCTTTCATTTCTCAAAGTTCTAATCTTAGTTCAAGCCCCACGACTGACACAAAAAAAAAAAAAGATCTCAAAGTTCTAATCTTCCAAATTCTCCCTCACTTCTTCCAACCTCACTCTAAATGTAGGGTACTTTCAGATGTGAAATTTCCTAACCTTCCCACACAAGTTTCTTTTTTATTTTTAATCCAATTCTTTGTATGTAGAAACATCTCATTAATTGTTAAATCTTACAATATGATTTTTCTGTGCCTCTTAAATAAAGCCATTTTCCCTTTCTAAAACTGCTGCCCCATTTCAGACTCAATCATTTCCTTGAACTCAAAGTATCAACTAATAGGTCTACTTGTCTGATATATCATTTCTCTATTGTTTTACAGTTCATACAGCTGCCAAATTTTTTTGTTAACACATAGCTTAAATTCCTTCTTAACATACTGAAATACAAAGTGTTGTTTTCTCTCATTTCTTATAGCAGCTTTTGGATGCACAAAGGATAATACTGGAAGTGCCTACCACAGCCATCATCATCTGGTTCCCAATCTTGAACCTTCTCTAGTTAATGCCTCTTATTTGATACCATACTGTACTACATGCTGCTCCCATGTGCAGCTGTACTTCAATGCAAGGGTCCCTATGAAAGATGCCTTACTGTCATGTGAGTATTTTGAAATGTTGAACAGTCCAAATGCCACTCCTCTGTGAAAACTTTCCCAATCATCCTATAAATAATTTATGGTGATTTCTTCTGAGCTCCTGTAACACTTTGCTTAGGCCAGTTTTATTGAATTTGCCACAGTAGATATTCAATTATAATTATTTGCAGATCTATCTGTCATAAAGTTATTTGCATAGACAGCATTAGTAGGTAATAAACATATAGAATGTTAGGGGTATGTTTTAAATAAGGATACAGGGGGACCTGTTGCAACAATGAGAAGTACAAGTCGTTATGTTGAAAACGAACTTTACAACTTTGGAGGGGGGGCGGGGAGGATTGGGTGGGGGTGGGGGGAGGATGGGAAGGGATGGGAAGGGGAAACAAAGGAGGAGACTACAATGCTTGATAAGAAATGTACTCATTATCTTGCCCATGTAATTGTAACCCCTCTGTACAGTATTTTCACAATAAAAAATAAATAAAAATTAAAAAAAAGAATGTTAGGGGTATGTTATATTGTTTGTATTTGATCCACCAATAATGTCTGTGCTTGACAGTCAATAAATATTTGATGAATGAGTGGATGAATCTAATTTTAATTTAAGGGAAGAGTCACCAACCATGCAATATAGACTAGCCTCTAATATGTATTAAACTCAAAGGCTTAACTTGGAACTTACTAACTTCTTTAAATAACAGTGCCTTACTGGGCTGGAAACGTGGCTTAGTGGTAGAATGCTTGCCTAGCATGCATGAAGCCCTGGGTTCCATCCCTTAGTTCCACATAAACAGAAAAGGCCAGAAGCGGCACTGTGGCTCAAGTGGTATAATGCAAGCCTTGAGCAAAAGTAGCTCAAGGACAGTGCCCAGGCCCTGAGTTCAAGCCCCAGGATTGGCAAAAAAGGTGCCTTGCCAAACATTTTTTATGATAGAAACCATACTAAAATATAACATTTAATCTGTGGGAAAAGAAAGTTTGGCAAGGTAAAAATTTTTTTTTTTTGGTCAGTGGTAGGACTTGAACTCTGGGCCTGGGCGCTGTTCCTGAGCTTTTCAGCTCAAGGCTAGGGCTCTGCCACTTCAGCCACAGCACTTCTTCCAGTTTTTCTGATGGTTTATTGGAGATAAGAGTCCCACAGATGTTCCTGCCTTGGCTAGCTTTGAACCTTGATCCTCATATTTCAGCCTCCTGAGTAGCTAGGATTACAGACATGCGCCACCAGTGCCCGGCAGTAACAGAATCTTACAGTAGCACAAGCATAACATTTGTAAACCCTGTCTAGGGAAAACACAAACAATAACATGGGCTTTCAAAATAGAGGAAAGAGTAGGAATTTGAATAATCTGTTTAACATAAAATCAGTAGCTAAAAGAATAACATAGATTGGGACAGAAGGAGAGATAAACTTTGGTTAAACCAGCTTGTATGGAGAAGACTTATTATAAATAACTACAAAGGTATATTTAAAGTCTAAAGCATTGAGACATTTCATTAGACAGGCAATTTCATTTTTGCTTGCTTTCTTTATTTAGTCTCTCCTGGGAACACTGCCACTTGAAAAGCTAATTTGTATTGGCCAGGAAACGAACAAAATAAATTTAGCCAGTAATTTAGTCACCAGTTTTGTAACTCAAATAATCTTAGTTTAGTTTGAATGGATGACTCAATCATTTTTCTCTCCCAGAAAAAAAATAAATGCTAAGGAGATTACCATGAAATAAGGTATTTGTTGTCCATGTAGAACTGTATAAAGCAGTTGGAATAATGGAGTCATTTAAGTTGCTAATCATTTATTTGTGAATGAATAATGATAAATGTATTGCCTTGGGAAGCTTGATGAGAAGTTCTATTTATCCCCTTCTTTGTATACCTGTATTTTATAACTTTATATGTGTGATTCTACACATCTGTCTGTCCTGCTACACATTAAATATATGCAGAATGGGGATGTTTCTTTATAGTTATGATGCACTGCTTTTGACTTAAACTGATTTTTAAAACTCCACTGCAATAAAATGATCTATAAAGCAGGAAAAAAGAAAAATCATACCTTTGAACCAGGTGGAGCTGTCAATCCTAAAAAGGCATACACTGCATTATTTTCTCGGGCTTCAAAGAAGGCATCATAATCCTTGGTGAAAAGAAAGCAAAACATGTTAGCAATTTGCAAGCAAGAAAGGAAACAAGAAATTTATTCATAATGACCTGACTAGTTGACAAGATCAGCTATACCCTTGGAATAAGTCAGGCTAACATCCATTTTTTTTTAACTAGTCCCAGGACTTGTTTGAACTCAGGGCCTGGGCACTGACCTTGAACTTCTTTTGCTCAAGGCTACCACTCTACCACTTGAGCCACAACACCATTTCTGGCTTTTTCTGTTTATCTGGTACTAAGGAATTGAACCCAGGGCTTCATGCATGCTAGGCAAGCCACATTCCCAGCCCCTAACATCCATAATATGGAAAATCTGGAAGGAGTAATAAAGAGACAGGGCTTCTGAATTCCATTTGATATAGATTAAAAGGTGTGTTGATCCATGGGACAAAAACTGCAGAATGGTTTGTTCTCTATCACATAGATTTTACATGAGTTTGTAGCTTCCTTGCTACCATGGGAAGCCAATAAGTATTATTAATCTCTCCAATTATTTATTCAAATTGTCATTTCCTCAGTGTCTGCAGTGGACCAGATACTAGCTACCCACATACTCTAAAGGACACAGAATCATGAAGCTATGTTGGATTTTGAGGAAGAGAATGATCAGTTCATAAAACAGGAACCCCCCACGCACCCACCCCCAGCAAATACAAAACCACTAAAAGGTTTCAATTCTGAGGATCCACAAGTAAGTTCACATGACAGAATAGGGTTAGCTTCCCACTATCATCCTGTAAGCCACTAAGCCTGTGCCTACACTAACAAACAAGTGACTTAACTATGGTTTAGGACCTATCACCTGACTAGAAAGGGATAGATATTGCTACTCTGCCTCCAAATGTGACTATCTTCTATAAAAGACACAAGGACAGTCTTTGTTCTGAAAGTATTTATGCTATGTGTGTGAAATGATAATGAAAAATGTTTTGGTGCATAGTGGAATTCAATCTGGATTGATGTTACTGGAATTTCAGAAATACTAAAGAATTACCTTCACTTTCTTCCTCAAGAGAATTCCTGTAAATGACTGTGATGTTTATTTCTGTATTTGTATCAGCAAGGAGGGCTGCCTATGTAGTATGTATTCAATCACATTTTGTGGAATAAATGAATGAATTTGCCTCAGTTAAGAAACACTGCCTCATTTATTTCACATATTACATTCCCCTGCAATGGCACTTCCCAAGGAGAAGTAGATTACCTAAGTATGGTAAATTAAATTTACCCTTATAATCCAAATGTGCTTATTTTCCACAGACAAAAAAAATGCCTCTAAAAGCATTTGTTCCCCAGTCATGCTAAACCTGAAGACCTGGCAAAATAAATACTACAAATCCCTATAGCCCTTATATTTTCTTTCTGTATCATGCCATCAAATGGCTTTATAACCACTACTATTGTTTCAGATGAGTATGATGCTGCATGCCATAGACTCCCAACCAGCTCCAAAGCAGAACTGGGTCTTCCTTGTACTTGTAATGGTACCAAGAATAGGCATGAAGTTTAAAAATTACCTTAATATACAGGGAATGAAGAATAAAGAAAGCATTTATATCACCAAAGTACTCCATTAAAATGGTGATCAGATTAAGAGAGATGGGATATTTGAAAGCTTCTGTCATAAAGCAAAACTCAATATTTTGCTTCCCTTAGTCTTTATTTTTTTTATTTTTTTTGGGGGGGGTCCAGTCATGGGGCCTGAACTCTGGGCCTGGGCGCTGTCCCTCAGCTCTTCAGCTCAAGGCTAACACTCTACCACTTGAGCCACAGTGCCACATCCGGCTTTTTTCTTTTTGCTTATGTGGTGCTGAGGAATCAAACCCAGGGCCTCTGGCATGCAAGGCAAGTGCTCTACCACTGAGCCACCTTCCCAGCCCCTTTTCTTAGTCTTTATATGAATTCAACCAGTAAGTTAAAATTTAAGAAAGTTCATTAATGAGACCAAGATACAAATACTACTAGCTTCAAATAGAAAACAAGATAGCTGTCTATTAAACTAATTTTTTTGGGGGGGGTCCAGTCATGGGGCCTGAACTCTGGGCCTGGGCACTGTCCCTCAGCTCTTCAGCTCAAGGCTAATGCTCTACCACTTGAGCCGCAGTGCCACATCCGGCTTTTTTCTTTTTGCTTATGTGGTGCTGAGGAATCAAACCCAGGGCCTCAGGCATGCAAGGCAAGTGCTCTACCACTGAGCCACCTTCCCAGCCTTAAACTAATTTTTAATCTAAACAAACCAACTGATTTCTTTCCAGAGCCTTCTCCTTGTACATACCAGAAGTAATATAATTGTTGGGATATTTGTCTGTATTTGCACATTTTACATACCTTTTGTGAATAATTGCTCATTCCTGGAAGAGAAAGTACTCCAGCCACTTAGGATGGATGCAGACAACAAATGATTATATGCAGGAGAAATTACTATATGCAGATTTGGAGATAATGGGGACAGAAATAGTATAGCCAGGAGGCAATCTATTCCAATAAGTAAGAATTTTAAATTCTTCCTTACCCCACGGTACTGGCTTTCATTGAAAATCTGAGGTGGCAGGGGATGCCCTGTAGCTGGTCGACTGTTTTCAGGTACATTTTCTCTCATCCACTTCCTGTTCTCTTCATTGGCTGCAATATCTTTCTCTTCAAATCCAATTTTGTTCGCTTCTAAGAAGCCAAGCACATCCTGTTGTTTCTTCTTAATCTACAATGCAAAGGACAAGAAACCATATTGCCAAGCAAACAGCTGTTGTTGTTGTTTTGTTTAGTTTCAAATTCAAAAAAAGTCAGTGTTTATGAACTAGAAGAAATGAACTCAGAAGTGGATCAAAAGATGTAAAGTAACTTCAAGAAGATACGTTTTTTCCAGTCTTCATTACAATCTTGTTAATGATATCTCACAAGACAGGAGCTTGTTGTCAATAGGCTGTATTATCATGTGACTTTTTCTGTTTTTTCTCTGAAGAGTCCCTTACCTAATAAGGATCACACAAGTTGATACATACAAGAAGAGAATAGTTAAGTCACAATGACTCTCAACAACAAAATAATAAACAAATGCTGGCAAGAATACAGGTAAAGAGAACCCTCAAACACTGGGAATGTAAAACTAGTGTAACTACTATGGAAATCAGTATGGAGGCTCATAAAAAAGCTAAAAATGGGCTGGGAAGGTGGCTCAGTGGTAGAGCGCTTGCCTTGCATGCATGAGGCCCTGGGTTTGATTCCTCAGCGCCACATAAGCAAAAAAAGCCGGAAGTGGTGCTGTGGTTCAAGTGGTAGAGCGCTAGCCTTGAGCTGAAGAGCTGAGGGACAGCGCCCAGGCCCAGAGTTCAGGCCCCACGACCAGACCCCCCCCCAAAAGCTAAAAATATACCTAAACAACTATGCCATGTTTGAGCATATTTCTGATGGAGAGTAAATCTGTCTACAAGTGAGATAACAGCATACCCGTTTATTGAAGGATTTTCACAATAGCTAAATTATAGAATCAGTCTAAGTATACAACAACCAAAGAACAGACAAAAAAAGTGGCATATCTACACAAGGAAGTATTATTCATCCATAAAGTAGAATTAAATTATGTCATTTGCAAACCATTAAATGGAATTGGATATATGTTGAGTGAAGTAAGTCAAACTCAAAAGGCCAAATCCCATGTTTCTCTTTAAACACAAAATCTAGACTAATAATAACAGTAATTGTAATGCAACAGGAGCTAAAAGACTCAGGAATCAGGAGAAAGGGAAAAGAAAAGGGTAGTAGAGGGAATGTATATAGAACTACATTACATATAGATATATGGAAGGTATATTCAAGTCACTGATTTTCTGCCTTTGGAATACAATAGGAAAGTCCAATCAGTGAAGTGTCTGTCAAATATCTGTATTTGGCATTTTTCCAAATTTGAACTGACATAAAAATAGCCTGTAAATAGGGTACTGTCATGAATCCAGCATTCCAACAACTTTTTCTATGAATAATTTGGATTATACATGGACCTACGAAAGTGTCATCATTTTGGTTTTATGAATGCAAGGGAAGAGAGTTTTCAAAATAAATATCCCTTTCCCACCTCACTGAATGTTTGCAATATTAAAAACACAAGACAAATTGATGGTGATGATGGCTGGATGTCTAGTATCACTGGTCATATATATATATATATATATATAGAGAGAGAGAGAGAGAGAGGTAGATAGATAGATAGATAGATAGATAGATATAGATAGATGTATATGTATATATATATGGAGAGACAGAGACAGAGAGAGAGAGAGAGAGAGAGAGAGAGAGAGAGAGAGAGAGCTTTCCTGCCCAGGTTGCTTTGAACCTCATAGCTCAACCTCCAAAGTAGCTAGGATTATTGGCCTGAGCCAAAAGCACCCATTGTGATAGTATATCATCAGCTCTGAGTCCAAAGCATTTCTCCTGTGCTCTGAAACTTCTGACAATAAGAACATATGCCTCCTAGAGTGTTCTACATCTCCATAAGACTGAACAGAAGGGGCCATAATCATAGATGTCCTTTGAAGCTTCAGGGAATGTAAAAATGGTATATTCTGACTTGAGCACATATATAAGGCAAAATTTCACATTTTAAGTTTATTTCCAAGTTATTGACTCTTTTATATGTTTACAGGCACTTGCCTGACAGTCACATCTGGTGATGCTAATTTTATGCTTTTCCTAATGACACTTAAAGGCACACAGTGAACAGATGCGAGTGAAAAATATGTTTTGCCAGAACAAACACAAATAGGTATCATAAAAAACAAGATTTAAGTTTCCAACAAAAAAATGATTTAGTACTTTAAAATGATACGGACAACCTTTTTACCTTCTATACCACTCCTAAGCATATATCCAAAGAAATATATGCCAACATACAAAAGATAACTGCACACTAGTATTTAAAGCAGCAACAGTCAAAATAGCCAAGCTATGAAATCATTCCAGGCACTTATCAACCGATGAATGGATAAAGAAAAATGAGTAACATTATGTAGCTTGCAAGAAAATGGATGGAACTGGAGGTAGTATTAAGTGAAATAAGCTAGTTTCAGGGAAAAATATGTTGTCCTCTTATATGCAAACCTAAAAAATTACATGACTATAAAAGGGGGACTGTTTGGGGGAAGAGACTTACAGGAGGGGGATTAGATGGATATATAACATGCTAGATGTATATATAAAAATGACAAAGAAATCTGAAAATAATTTTTTTTAAAAAAGGAAGGGGAGGCAGAAAGTAAAAGAAGTTGATGCTGATTGTTCATGCTTGTAATCCTAGTTATTCAGGAGGCTGAGATTTGAGGATTGTGGTTCAATGCCAGTCCAGACAGGAAAATCCATGAGACTCTTATCTCCAATTATCCACCAGAAAACCAGAAGTGGCACTGTGGCTCAAATTGGTAGAGCACTAGCCTTGAGCAAAAATGCTCAGGGATAGTGCCCAGGTCCTAAGCCCAAGCCCCACAACCAACAAACAAAAAATAAATACATAATATAAGTGGTAATTATGATCAGATAAATTATATGCATAAAGAGAACTCTCACAATAAAATCTTACAACAAAATACTTTTATACAACTAATGTATACTTAAAAGCTATGAAAAACCAGGTGCCAGTAGCCCACTCTTAAAATTCTACTTTCTCAGGAAGCTGAGAAATAAGGATGTAGGTTCTAACTCAAGGGTAGAAATATCCATGAGACTCCTTTCTCTAATCAATCAGCAAAAACCCAGAAGTGGAGGTATGGCTCAAATGGTAGGACACAAACCTTGTAGAAAAGCCAAACCAGAGCATGAAGATTTGAGTTCAAGTCCCAGTACCAGTACACATACACACTAAGTTATGGATACCCCATTTACCACACAAATGAATTTTCAAGTGGATGATGGTACTGTGAATAAATGTTTATCTTTTTCAAATAGTGAAACCACATCTCTCACAAAGCCAATCCTGAAAACTGGACAGAAATTTGAGATTCAAGATATCCTTGCATTCAAAAATAATAAAAAGCAGGACTATTTAAGGAAACAGCTGTCTTCCAACAAGCTTCAGTAAGCTTCTTTTCTGCATGCCAAAGGTCAAGTTTGTTTTAAAGAAGTGAGACAGATGAGGTTTGTGCTTTAGACAATGTGTTTGAACATTCCAAATACTAAAGGAAGAACAATATACTTCAACTGGGAAAACAAGTTGTTTTTATGAAAGAAAAGTGCCAGTATCACAAACCACTTAAGGTGGAATTTTTGCCTTGTTTGGTAATCAACCTCTGTGACATTGTGTCTATACTGATACTTAAATGAGCATTCGCAGAGGTTCTGACTATGAAATGCTAAAAAAAATATATTGTACTTAGTAATTATATAACAGAATTTCTTAAATGTTTAGATTGCACCCAAAACATTTTCCTAAATTCTCTAAGATACCTAAAGAAAATGCAGAGATATTCTCTCAATATAACAATATAGTAAATGAGAAGTAGATATAGATCTATTTTAAAATTCAATTGCAACATAGTATTTAAGTCAGATGCTAAGTCAGCAATGAAAGTTGATTGAGAAGGGCCTGGCAATTGATAAAGCCAATGAGTGAAAGGAGAGCAAGCACTTGTAGCTATTAGCAAGGCCAGCTAGACTAATGTAGCTAGATTCTCAATCTACCCAAATCTGCCAAGATCTAGTCTGAGTAAAAGAAAGCTATATTCAATGAAGATAAATAAAATTAGCCAGCAGTTAAAAAAAAAACAAAAAAACAACTGAACTCACAAAGTGACAGCACATTATGCTATGAAAATGAAAGTATAGTATTACAAAATAAACTTGACAGTACTTTTTAAAACTGTGTGTGCGCATATGCACACATACACATATGTGAGTTTCCTGGTGCCTGAACATGATCACAGCCTGCATTGTCTCTAAACATTTTTGCTCTAGGCTAGCACTCTATCACTTGAGTCACAGCTCTATTTCCATCTTTTTTGTGGTTATTTGGAGATGACTCTCATACACTTTCATTCCCATTCTCACTTTGAACTGAGATCCTCAGATTTCACCTCTTGAATAGCTAGGATTACAAATGTGAGCAACTGGCACTCAGCTGTGTAAGAAATTTAGTAACAGGACTTTTGAACATCAGTTTAAAATATTATCAAGCTAGGCACCATTGGCTCACACCTGCAATCCTAGTTATTCAGGAGGTTGAGCTCTGAGGATCACAGTTCAAAGCCAACCCAGGCAAGAAAATCTGAAAGACTCTTATATTCAATTAACCAGGAAAAAAGCCAGAAGTGGAGATGTAGTTCAAGTGGTAGAGCACTAGCCTTGAGTGAAAAAATCTAGGGGACAGAGGCCAGGCGGAGTTCAAGCCCCAGTACGAGCACACAAATAAAATGTTCTTATACATCAGTAAAGCCCACTAATGAACTTACAAAACTGCATGGAAATGTACTTTTTTATTATTATCTTCAAGTTGTTGTACAAAGGAGTTGCCATGTATTTGTTTTATAACAGATCAAAATTTCTAACCCAATTGAAGGAGAAATTCAGATACAGATTCCCTCACAGTGGTTCTTTGCCTTCTAGGAAGTGTCAGTCTGCTTTATGAAAAGCAATAAACCAGGGTCTGGGAAGGTGGCTCAGTGGTAGAGCACTTGCCTTGCATGCCAGAGGCCCTGGGTTCGATTCCTCAGCACCACA